CTCTAGTCATACCTCATAGTCACATTCATCAAATCCATTAGGTTTTCCTTGCTCGAAAGCCAGTCGAATCCGACTCTAGGGTTGCGGTGCTCATCTCCGTTTCCAAGCCGAAGAGCCAGCGCTGCCCGAAGACGTTTCCGTGGCCATGTGGCCGGCGTGACTAAACGCCGAGGCGCACGGAGCGCTGTTACCTTCCCACCGAGGCGGTACCTATTTATCTACTTGCAATTTCTTGCTTTCAAACTGCTAGGTTAGCAGGAGCTGGGGAAGAAGATGGGGAGCTCACTCCGTCATGCGGCACACTCAGGTCTCGAACTGCTGAACTACCGACCCTTCCAGCCTGCAGTTCAGACTTAACCTCTGAGCCACCGCAGCTCCATTAGTGTGAGGTAAATTCCACTCTTCCTACTGACTTTTACATCTCTAAAGCCCAGAAGTCTCCAGGTGGTGGCTGAGGATCTCCCACTATTACAACCAGTGTTCCCTCTAAGCTGAGTGAGTGTGAGCTAGCTCACAGGTTTTTAGTCTCCGGCTCACAGATTTTTGCCTCAGCTCAGGAAGGATGGCTCCAGAGCAAACTGATTTATGCAGTAGCCAAATCGCTCGCTCACAACTTTAATGCCCGTAGCTCACCAAGTAGAATTTTTGCTCACAAGACTCCACAGCTTAGAGGGAACATTTACAGCTAGTCTCCAGGCAACAGAGAGGAGTCCCCCTGGAGAAAAGTCTGGTTTTAATAATAATATACTTTATTGTCATTGTACATAGTACAACGAAATTAAGGTGCAATCATTCGGTGATCTACAAGCATACTCATACACACTCACACAACCATTAGGGTTCACATTGCAACTTAACCACCAATGTCACCCAAATTCCAATTCATACAGCATTTAAAGCAACAATAATAGCTCTCGAAGAAAAACTGTTTTTTAATCTGTTTGTCCTTGTTTTGATTGTCCTATATCTTCTACCCGAAGGCAGCAGTTCAAACAGGGAGTGTTCAGGGTGTGACAAATCCTGCAAAGGTGGTCTCGCCTCTACAGCATTATGTAGCACTGAAACCCCTCCCCTCCCCAAACCCCCCCCCCTCCAACTCTTGAGGTATTTCCCAACGCGGAACTGGCAACCCTACCCGGGAGATGTCCAGGTCCTGCCGGGAGGCTGGCAACCCTACCAGCGCCGCTCTCCCCGTCGTGGCCTCTGCAAGCGCCGCCTGGCGGCCGGCGGAGCCTCTCCCGCCGCCGCCTCAGAAAGAGGCG